GAGCGGCTTAGGGCGGAGGGAATCATCCTTTACTGGCAGGGGTGTCACAGACGCAAAGGAAGCAGATATCTTCTGCTTCAGGTGCCCTAGGCGCGCACCGATTGCCTCAAAGCCTTGCGCAGCAAGGTGTTGCACGCCCTCAGAACCCAGCAAGGACTTCAGCTTGTTAAGGCCGTCCTGCATTCCCAGGGGCAACGAGGAAAATTGTTCTATCCTCACAGAGGATCAGTCTAAACGACTCAGGTGTAGTTTGACTATAAGTGCTACCAAGTGCAGCGGGGCTGCCGTAGCTTTGCGCTTTAAGGAAGCGTAAGTTAGGCCACCCACCTTACGTGCTTCACAAGAACCAGTATGAGTGTAGCAGATCGCAATCCGCTACCTCCAAAAGTAGTTGGAACCTTAAGCCAAGGCTAATAGACTCTTCTGTTCAAATCCAAAACTGTATTGTAAATGTATAGATTTTCCTAAATATATATAGTAAAATCCAAATGTGTGCATAACTACTGGCTTTCCAGCCACGTACCGTATTCTTATTTGGGTGCAGTCACACCATGCCCTGCTACGTGTGACACACACCCCTGTTACCAGGGTACGTGTAACCCCGTTACAGCAGCCGCTGCAGTATAAGTCTTATGTAAAAATAAACTGTAATTTCTGTTAAACTACGTTAAAAAACGTAACTCTTTAGTTTAGGATGATATGTGGCTGCTAACCCACAGGGGGCTCAGTGCTATAGTACTCTGGTGCTTCTCAAATTTGCACGATTGTGTAATGTGTAAATTCCACATATATCATTGCGTACCCTAGAATTGACCGCATCAACACCCGTAGCACGGTGTCTTCCCACTTCCGCTTAGATGAAGGGACATGTGTGTAAGGCTTAGATGAAAGTGGGGCGTGAAGTGGACATTCGAACCCGTGAAGGAATCGACAGTGGCAAAGCCCCAAAGCATTTGGAAAAGGCAAAGGTGGCGCATGGGAGTTGGTTAGAAGCTTAGGCTATTCTCATCCGAATACACTTTGCTCAAAGTTTTTGATTGCACTGGCTACACGTTGACCAAACGCCGCATCTAGCTGTTGAGATAGGAAAAGAATAAGGGGTGTTTTGAGACCAGGACATTTTGTGTTTGGATTAATGATGCTTTTGCCCCCGGCGGGATTTTTGTTTTGATGAAGGAGATTACAACGGTTATTATGGTGTCCATTCAGGTTGATCTGTTGTCCTCCATTTCAAAGCGAAGCTTAGAAGCGTGATGTTGAGTATCGTGGTGGGTGTTAATGATGAAGTATAATTTGGGACTGCTCGTGAAAAGGAGAGGCTCGTGAGACATGCGGCCTTGCAATGCGTCGTTTTGTAGAGGCTTTATTATTATTGACAGTAAAACGCATATATGAGAAAAGTTAATCTCTTTTGTTAATAATCACTTTTATGGAAGATATTATGCAACTTTGAGCTAGAGGGAATGTATATATGAGCTGTGCATTTGTGGATTTTACTGTACTTGAACAGTACAAATGTCGGCGTTTGTGGCCAACCGCCACATTTTCAGTTTGTATGGTGTGCTTTCTACTGTTCTAGCATCTATTCGAACAAGTCTAAATTGTTTGCCGTAGTTTTTGCTTGACGACCACAAATTGTGTGATATAGATAGGTAGACGAGATCAAGTAAGACTTCCAACAGCCCAGCGCAAACAGATCGAGTCTCAAGTCTATCTTTTAAAATGTTCAATCTTTATTACGCTACAAAACAACTTAACCTCGCATTGTTTGAGTAAGCGATTAAGACACTAGATCTAAGGATAGCTAAGCTGGTCCATCTTTAACGCAGACACACATCCCAAACAAGACGAGCTGCTCATCGAAGGTCTGGCAATTTTACAGTATGTTTTCATAAGCGAGAAGAGTCTTAAAAATGGCTTAAAAATATGTGCTTCAACACAACAGTTCGCAACGCTGTACGCACTTTGAGCAAAATTTATGCGGCGTTGGTTTCATCCAGGTCACTGCAGTCATTATGCTAGAACACTGGCTTCCAAACTAAGAAGCCACTGTTGCCCTTACGCATGATGATACTTCACAAATGGCTGAACGCAGTTTCATCACGTGCAGACAGACCAATGGCGGCCTTCTTGTGCGACCAATCAACCAACGATGGCTTTGCAAACCTCACTAGTATGTCGGTTGCCACTACAGGCGATCGCAAATCTTATCATTACTTCCCCAATGCCATGAAACCGGATGTTTCTCGAGCATATTGAACATGTAATAAATTCTGGACAAAATTGCAGCGTTGAAGCATTGCACACAGTGGACGGGACAATACGATTGCGTTCAACGCTCGACACACAGTGATAGGCAGGTCGACACGCCGTCACACGGCGCACCACACTGCAAAAGGAGCGTCTCGTGGTTAACGTGTCGTTGCTTTGAGGGACACGCTACTTTGTATTTTAATGACGAGCAGCGGCGCGACTACGCTCACGAACAAAAGCAATGCTAAGTTTCCACTACCCGATGGATACTTTCCGCCGGTTAAGCTAACTCCGGCCGAAATTGACGTGTATGAACAGCGTGTAGTAATAATTATGAAGAACGCTTTGGCTGAGTATAATTTGCACGAAGCGATGGGAATTCGGCCTGACTACGGGTCCCGATGGACCACCGTAGGTAATGTAGAGCATCTCACTGCCATTCGCGAGATTGATCCATCTCGGGCAGTAGAGGCCTCACGCATCTTTGGACGCGTTGACGGTGACTACCGCAATTTCATCGATTTTTTTTACTCAGATTCAGCACAACAGGTCTTCGCGGTAAATCAATTCATGTTTGGATATGCTGTGGATGCCGCTGTGCTGTGCAACATCCATACTAAAGCATCCAACAAATCTCACAAGTATCTAGGCATGAAATGGGTCTGCCTGCAGCCGTCTCCCCTCTCACGCAAACGCGATATGTGCTTTCTGGAATATCTCGTCTACAGTAAAGATCTTCAAGGTCGAGACGTTGGCGTTCGTATCACGTTGCCTCTGCTCCTGGAGGAGTGTCCGCCGCTGCCGGACAAGCTAAAAACACGACGAATTCATCAGCACACAGTGACTATTGTTCGACCGACGAATAACAGTCCCGACTCTTCTGAGATCTTCATGACCTGTGAGGTCGACGTGTACAAGGGACCGGGCTTTTCATCCGTAACATCATTTAAAAAGCTCATGACCACATTGAGCTCCATGGCCTTGTTTGCGGACTCCAAGCGTATTTCTATGTATGGTATGCTTGATCGCAGTAGTTGGGCACCGAAAAAGGCGCGTGCCAACTGCAACGTTTGCAACCGAAAATTTTCAGCGACGCGACGCCGGCAGCATTGCCGTCTCTGTGGTGAAGTGGCTTGCCGTCGCTGTATGATAGTTCGTGCAGCCCCCATCGCCAATGATAGCACGCCTTCGAATGCTCGTACTTTTCAAATTATCAAGACAGTGTTCTGCAAAGTTTGCATGGGAAAGGTTCGTGACTCGGGTATTAACAATGTGAAGGCAGCTGACAGTCAAGACGAAGGCGTGTCCGACGCTGAGTCTTCCGGTGTGTATGAAGACAAATCCCGTAGCCGAAGCTTTGATAGCGAATATCACTTAACGCTGATCGACGGATCATCAATCGCCTCGCTGTCGCCAGCTACCAATAGCTTTCTCGATGCCTCCCTCACACGGCAAGATATGACTGACGATGGAGAGTGCGATGTCATGAGCCCCTTACAGGGAATTTTTTTTAGCAGCATCGACTCAGAAGATCACTCAGAAACGAAGACAAGTGTTTCGTCTTCTGTGGACGAAGGCTTGGAGATTGATGTGGCGGAACCCGATACTCGAGCTCTGTTTGATTTGCGCCATCTTCGAACGATGGCAGGAGCCGAGCGCGTGGTAAAGGAGGTCGAAGAAGAAAATCTTCGGGTTATGAGAGAGTCGCTTGCAGCGCTAGACTTTAAGGCTGTCCGTCTCGTTGTGTCACCATCTAATCAAAACGATGATTCAGGCTTTGAATACTCAAGCAGTCAGAGCTGTATTCTCCCGCTAATGGAGGAAATTGAAGACGAAGATGATGATGATATTATCGAGATTTTCGGCGAGTCCAGTGAGATCGTGTCTAGCACGCGGCAGATTGTGTCGTCTCCACTGGATGAAACACTCCTGAACGACGGTGCATTAGAGCAGGTATATTTTAGCTCCGAAGGGGTCAACGTATCAATTAATCAGCGCCTTCACGAACAGGAGGTGCTGTTAAAGAGACTGGTTATGGCGGCAAACTTTTCGTCCGGAAATCATCCGCGAAGCGTTCGCGCGCATCAGTAAATGTTTTAAACCAACTAACGATGACTTTAAGTCACGTACTTCTTATATAATTGAAACGCGGGCTGTTTATATTATAAAACTTTTTAACAGTCGTTACCCCTGTCAAGGTTGTCAAAATATATCTAGCATAATGTGCCGCAACATATTGTGAAGTGCAATTTCGATCGTGGGGCAAACGTAAATCGAATGCTACCTCAACCTGAAGTCACATAGAAATTGACTGAAAGAAATATTTAGATTGTCCCGTTATCTACTATGAGTTTTTTTTATTTACAAAATATGATATGAATGATTCACTGTTTGACGTCATTGATGCCACGTCCAATGAAGTAGGACAAATCGAAAAGCAGTCCAAACAATCACTCAGGAATATGATGGGACCTAGAATTTCTGAATCTACCAGTTCGCGTTAACACAGAGAATGAGTATGTGCACACCGCAAAGTGCCGAACCGAGAGTGAGACGGAACAAGTAGTGTAATCTTGTACGCTTTACGCTTTGGGTACTTGTATTAAAACACAATGCGAGAACGAATTTCACATAACACTAGGTGTAATTGTGAATATTTTTGTACCGGGATATCGCTACTTGTGCATAAAGGCTGCTAGCCGCACGTCAGAAACGAATATTTAGAGCCAGACAAAATTGAATAAATCCTAAATCTTGAAATGGCCGAGCAAACTAACAGTGTTGGTTGCTGAGAGGCTTTTTAATCCGCCCTGGTAAGAGAGCACGAACACAGCCTCTGTGCGTCTGTTAATTCAGATTCTGAGTTAAAGCTATCTCTGTGCATGGTGCTCGTTTCACTTGGTTGCACTTATAGTCAATCGCTTGGCCAAGTATTGGAGGGGCTAAGTATCATGTGCGATAATTGGAAAAGGGTTGATCGAACACCTGTCCCTGGGGCAAACAGGCAAGAAAACAAGCTTTTTCCTATCTTGGGTCATAATGTGATAAAAGAAATCATGGCGTGACACAACTAGGAATGGAACAATGAAGCGAGCTAATAGCTTCGAACTTTCCAAGCTTGAGATCGCATCACCTGATAGGCTCTTAGCACTAAGTAGTATATAATCTTCTACAATAAAAGGCATTTTTCCTAGACGACCTCCTCTATTGGCGTCTTCCTCTTGTGAGGGACGTCAAAGGGCCGGAATCGGTATCACTTGCCTGGGGGCGCTCATCAGCATTGAGAATGCGCTGATCAAACACATGTATAAGCACCCTAATCTTGTGCCGATGAAGTATCAGATGGCTCCCACCGTGAGAACGCTGACCTAAGAGTTTAGGTATTCGCAGTAGATCGTTTGTTTGGGAAGATGTAATTGGAATGGCAATGGATATGGCATTGATCAAAAAAGGGCCACAGCGCACCGCGCTTACGATTTCCACGTGAGAGGGTTGGACGCAGAAATTGGTATTTAAGTGCATCTCTCAATAGAAGAAGCGCTACCAACTTAGAACGATTTGTATCGATACACGCCGCAGGTTTGCACCACCAAACCAGGCGTACCGAGAACGTCTGAATTTTTTGTCTATCATCAAGAGAGGCGGTTACTGCTGGCCTATGTCCAAACGTTAAAACTTCTTATAGCCACAATGGCGTCTGACGCTTTCTTTGAGGCACCAAAGGTTATCGTTTTAATCTATGTTCGTCAAACGAGTGGTGCTTGTACCGATACCTTCTGCGTCCGCCCTATCGCTTTAAAAGTAGCAATGAGAGTTACTTTCGATGAGAAGTACAGCCTTTGAGCCGCGAGGGCAAGATTGAGCGCTGGATTTTATGCGCGCCAAAGGTGATGAATCTTACCTATGCAGAGAAAGAACACGATGGATAGATTGGAGGTTGAGGAGGTAAGTGTCACACGCTTCTCTCCTAAGGGGGGGTATTTTCGGGCTATAAATCTACATCTACCAGAGAACTCAAGGGTTTTGGCGGGGGCACAAAGCTGTGATAGCTTCTGTTCAGGGCAGGATGCAATTGTCCAAAATCGAAAGCGGTGGTATTTCTAGGTGCATGGAGATGATCGCTTTCTAGTCGCCCCAACTATGAATCGTCGCATGTCACAATGGCAACGCCATAAGTTGATGATGCGATGCGTTCAGGATTCAGGTCAGACGCGAAATGTGTCGCACTACTGCAAGTTTAAGGAGCAAAACCTTTAATAATCTGATTTTTAAAGTGCACTGTAGCATGCATGCATTGTTGGAACGCTTGGAATCACATAACTGGGAATATGAACCCCAGCGTGGAGTGGTGCCCAACGATGAGACCCTCAAGTACAAAATTCTGTAAGATATACATAATATCCCTTTACGTGCCAACCTCAAGAGAGAAAATACAAACTGCTCGACGAGAACTACATTTTTGTGGCGCAACATCGATTAGGAAATCAAAAATGCGCAATAGTGAAATGTGTAAAAGTGTTAAGCTTATGATGCTTGCAGCGGAAACATTGATCAACCGGTACTGAAAGAGTGCCAAATCCCATAAGTAGTGACTACATTTTTGTATGCTGAAAAAGGCGTCAGGAAATAATAAGATTGTGATCTTTTTTGCACCGTCTAATCAGTATTGCTCGTCTTATTCTCTCAGCAGTAATGTGACCAATGAGGATACGAAACAAACTGTTTCTCAACAAAGTCTTTTGCCAGCTTGACTTGCCCATAGCCATTGCCTGGTATTGAGACCCGCCAATTGGGGTAGAGCTTTAACAACTATTGCATCAAATCGAACTCTGAAGTGTTGACCACTCACAAATAGATGAGCCTGAGAAACAGTGATCACTTTTTAGCAAATATCTTCCAAAACCCTCGCAGACAGACCGAGGTACCGTGGTAATTCGCTTAATTTGCGTGGAATTATGCCGTACATGGCCCTACTAGATTTATCTGAATACACATGTTTACTAGTTGATTCGGTAAGGCCCCTGCCGACTGTGACATCGCCACGAATTGGCTCCGAGCATAGTGCGGAAGGGTCCGTTAATCCAATACGACTTCCTGGTATCAGTACGGCTCTACATCTTATCAATGGCAGCAATGAATAATGAACTTCAATGAGAATGAGTGTCATGCGCAGGATGCGCGACGTTATGGCTGAGAGACGAGATGAACAAACGCAACACACCGATGTGAGAGACAAGCGGAACACATGCAAATATTCTGTAACGTAAGAGAATGCAATTACTACCAGACTTTGTATCTAGCAGCAATATAGTTAAGTAGCTGGTACGCTAGCGACCTTTCGTCTAACGATGCTGCAGTCACGGACAAAACGATTTTGCCCCAATTCTTGCGGTGGTCAGACGAATTTGCTGACTGGGACATATTCATCTTCTTTTGCTGACTTCCTGATTGGCAAATCAAGGCAATTTGACTGTGTCGTATTGATGAAGCAATTTGTTGCTCGTTCATTTAAGTGAGAATCTGCGGCAAACCTTTACATTAGTTTCGTGTTTTAATATCGTCTCGACGAGACTTGAGATACGTTTTGACTTGTTGTAACGCGAGTTTGTCCAATAAGTCGAAAGCTGTGTTGACTGCACTAATCTTTGCTGCTGTCGTCCGTTCGTCTAAGTGTCTGGCAATGTCGTCGATGGTATATGCTGTCTGCCGTCTATGCTTATCAAGGAGGCGTCCGGAACTTACACCGGGGGAAACTTGATACAGTAATGCAGAATTCAAATTGTAATTGCTTAATACTGTTGCACTTCTAAGGTTCACAGAAGCCAAGTCCAGCGTTGGCGCTTAACAACGTTGAACAGTCTTCGATACAATACTTACTTCAACTGAAAAATGATTGTCACCATGCCACTTGCGATTACAAACGCACTGAACCGAAATCAAATTGTTGAGACAAGCACTTCATCCATATAGCAAATTCTAGAAAGCGCTGGTTTATGTTTATTTCTCGTCCGAAGCATTCAATGGACGACATGGAGTCGAGCTTGTGTCGTTTTCCTCCCCTCCGTTTTGCGAGGTTCTTAACCTCAGGCTAGCATTTACGAAGCAGAACAACTGGTTCGTTATTTACTAATTCAGACAACTGTTTGGGGTAATTTGGTGTACTAAACGTATTGTATGCACAAGAACAACCCATAATACGTAGAGATCTCTTTCGATCTCTCCATATTCTTTGCAAGGCAGTGGGCGCGAAGTGGAGAAGGTTGCACATATCAGACACTTTGGTGTAGGCGACTCAACGATACTAAAGTGACCTTATTTGAAACGAGGTCAGAAAACTTGAAGACTAGCTTAAAACTTGGCTTGAATGGATACGTGGCTATTTGCGAAATCAGCCACTGCACGAATCCTTCGTGAAAAATCGATCAGATTTTTGTCGTATCACAGCTGATCCAATAGAAGAGTAGAGGAGAGAAAATATTCTTTGGTCGACTGTGTCTCTTAGAATGCAATCGACTGATCTGTTGAGATATGGCACTCATACATAGTGAGTGATGGCTTGTTCATCCCATTCGTGTTAAGCAAAGTTCCCTGATAGGTTCGAGCTTCTTAGGATTTTAGGGTGTATCAAATATGATAGCGCGGTCCCAACCGTATTTTGATGGCTCCAGTACGCTATGACACTTTTGTGCAATGTAAATTTTTGGAGGCGTAGAGACGTGATCTCGGAGATGTTCGGCAACATCAACATCCTTATGTGCCATGCACACCAAAATAAGATTGCTTAACAGCAGAAAGGCAAAGCATTTTGGGTTCTCTTTGAAGTCAGCTGTTGTGGTAGCAATGCTTGTACCTCTAGTGGATCGACGTTTATAGACAATGCAAAGCTCATCGAGGACAGTTAGCTAATGCGCAAAAGTAAGCGGCATATGGGTCGCTTCATCTAAATAATTGCTTGAATTATCGCATCAAAAACGGGTAACTTGTTGTCAGAACGAGAATGTTACCAGGATAAGAAATTAACAGGTCGCCTAGTCAAAACAGGCTTTGCCCGAAAGTGTGAGAGCTCGCATGATCTGTCAATATTTGCTGCTGCTGTTAAGTGCGACCCCGAATAGGAAGCACGCAGGTTGGTTTTCAATAGTCGCCTATGCGTCTTCATCCGATTTAAATTTGAGCACATCGATCACAATGTACTCAGCTACTTCATATGCTGGTGAGGTCTGCTAAATAACATGTTTATTGTGAACAGCATGCGGCGTGTTTGCGGGAATCAAAATTACGGAGGCCATAGAGGTGTCGATTGTTAAACCACAAACTCCTCACATTCTATCAATTCACCAGTACTTAAACAGACAGTCGTTGTTAATGAGGTATAACAATCATCCGCAACTTACAGCTCATAGCAGTTAAAATGGACGGGTGGTGAGTAGCTCAATGTAGATAAATCTTGAGAGTGGATTGCCAGGTCGATAAAATTAGCACCATTGCCATATTGCGAGTGCTGTACTACCTTCCATTCGGGCGCATCAGCAGGCACCACATCAGGAGAAAATGTTTGGGCCCGTGATCGGACCAATCTGGATGCAGACAGACCGCGGTGAACCAGTGAAGATGACACCCCTACTGGTGTTACACTTTATAGTTTGTCCGACGGTGACGGAACAACTGAATCATAAACTAATTTCAAGACATGTAAATTTTGCTAAAAGCAGACGGAATTAATTAAATACCTTACATGCGTCGAGACCGCAGCAGGCGCACGCACAGTTTCTACATACCGCATATTTGCTTGCGAGACATCACGTGGCTTGCGTGCAGCGACGCCGAGCGTACGAAGTTGTGCTTGTGAAGAAGATGTTGAACCGAGTATTGCTCATCGTCCAAGTCCCTCAGTGACTCTCCGTTTTGCTCAAACAAGACAGGTGGGCATGAAACTTTAATGAAGTACACAAGGCGATCTCATCACTTAAGCATGATATGGTCATGAGTCACCGTGTGAGCACAGGCCGACCGTTGCCAGATGTGTATACGGAAGTCATTTCAGACCATCAAAGTATAGCTTGTCGAAGATCAAATTCTTCTGTATGGTTACCAAGGTGTCACGAATCTTGAGGTCTAAAACTTCAACGAGCCCCCCTCGTCTGAAATGTAACCAAAGCCCATACTGCGATAAAGGATGCGGACAAAGTTCGGGCCACAACCCATATTTAAATATTTATTCCGGTTAGTAATTCACCTTTAAGAATACACACACCTCGTCGATGTTATGTTCAGCTGTTAGAAGCGCAGCTGAAAACACAAACGCATGTAGTTCTTTGCATCGACTATCAGTAGAAGCTACACAAGAGCTTCTCAAAAGTACTTATCTTTGGAAGCCACAGGTCGTTCAATTCAGCAAATCTTTCTTAAAGCGGTGCCATCCGTTACCGAGCGATGGGGTGCCAAAAGTCTGCTTGAACGAGAGCGCCAAGTAGCTTGGTGCGCCGAAGGCTGTGCTGCGTGTTCCGACCACCATGCCAATCGGTCACTGTTAGATGCAGTGGGGCAGATGAAATGTGGTGAAAGTATTAACAAATTAGAACTTTTTCAGCTGTTTGCAGTGTCTTGGTCGCATTGATCCTACATACGTAGGATCAATGCGACCAAGA